GCCTGCAGTCCCAGCTTCTTGGAAGGCTGAGGCAGGAGAATCTCTTGAATCTGGGAGGCGGAGGTTTTAGTGAGCCGAGACTGCGCAACTGTACTGCAGCCTGGGCGACAGAGCAAGACTCTGTCTTGGAAAAACAAACAAACAAAGGGTAAATGCTGATGGGGGAAGGTGGAAGGTGGAAGGTGTAAATGACTGGAGTTCAGAGATGAGAAAAATCCTCTGGATGGGACTGGCAGGCTTACGGCAGGGGCGCGGCAGTGTTGAGAGTAGTGACTCACATACTGTGATTTATGTTTTCATCATAGTGATGTGTTTGTGTGTGCATGCTAATCATATTTACCCAGTTCTTCACTGAACCGGGACTTGCAGTAAAATTACTGGTAAAATTTCTAGACCCTCCAGAAAACCATCTAAAGCGAATGTAATTTAATTTCTAATTTGGCTTGAAGCTTTTTAATTTTTTTTGAGATGGGATCTTGCTATGTTGCCCAGGCTGGAGTGCAGTGGCTATTCACAGTCGCTATCCCACTACTGATCAGCGATCCCAATACTGATCAGCAAGGGAGTTTTGACCTGCTCCACTTCCGACCTGGGCCGGTTCACTCCTCCTTAGGCAACCTGGTGTTCCCCTGCTCCCGGGAGGTCACCATATTGATGCCGAACTTAGTGCGGACACCCGATCGGCATAGGGCACTACAGCCCAGAACTCCTGGGCTCAAGCCATCCTCCCACCTCAGCCTCCCGAGTAGCTGGGACTGCAGGCATGCGCCACCGCGCCCCGCAGCTTGAAGCTTTAACAGCTCCATGTTTTAACTCCCTTTATAGGGGGGAAAGAGAGTAATTGGGAAAGAAGAGTAGTTTGGCCTAAGACACCGTTAACAACGTGTTGTGGAAATAAGCTAGAAAACACAGTACTCCATAAACATGGAACATGAATACAGAAACAGATTATTGATGTCTGTCAAAGGCATAATTATATAATTGCCTATTGTAAAGTAAGCAAATATAATAAAATACTCATTCAAGTTTATGGTGCCAGAAGCTGTACATTGGCAGTGCCCCCGTATTCTGTGAACTTGTTTTAGACTTTGGAAAACTTTAAATTCCTTTGAATTCTCTGTCAGCATTTGAAAACATGATTTTTTCATAAAAATATCTGGATTTTTGTCTCCTGAAAGGTCAGAAGATCTAGCAACACAGCAACACCAGGCCCGTGTTCCACTTGACAAATAGTGGCTGCTGGGTAGCCTTCTTAGAGGGTATGTGTTCTGTTACTCTGAAGGTCCTCTGTCAATTACTGACATTAGAGCAGAATTGGGAGGAAAAAGAAATAGCTCTTGCATCTCTATCTTTCAAAACTGTGCAAACGAAAGGTTAACTAAGGGCTGTATATTTCAAGAAAAAAACAGCATGTTTCTTTGTGAAAGGAGAGACTGTTCCATGAACTTAATATGCAAACAAAGTCAGAAGAGGACGGTTCTGCCTGGCCTTCATAGGTAATTGAGTTTAACATCTGACTTATACTGGAGGTGGGTGCTCTGTAGACTGGGCCCCATTCCAGAGAGGAGATTTTAAAGCTATTTTTCTGAGGATCAGTGAGACGTGTCATGGGAAAGGAGGAAGGGAGGAAGGGCAGAGGAGGCATTCCAGGGAAAGACTGGAATGTGGAAAAAGGAGATCTTGACTAAGGAAAGGATTTACTTTCCTTTGAGAGAGGGTGGAGGCTCTTGTGTCAGAAAAAATGTTTTCAGGCAGCTGTAAGGATTGGAGAGAACCTTGAAGTCCTTACAGTGATCTGAGGGACAGGAAGGAAGGGATTGCAGGGATTTCCAGGCGGCTGTGACTCTGAGATGATTCACATCTTCTCTTCTGTCCTTACTGCTTTGACCAGATTGAAGGAAAAGATGAACAGATTGGCAACGGTGATTTGGAAAAACAGCGGTGCACTATGATGCCTGTCTCTCTCACTAGATTGTGAACTCCTAAAGGTTTGACTATATTTTGTTAATGAATGTTTGTGACCTGTTAGACATAGCGGGCAGGAGGACTCTGTTGCACAAAGTATTAAAGAAACATTTGATAGGCTTCCTGTGGCCACACAGCAAAGTTTCTTGTCTGTCTACAGCTGGGAGTAAGTGAGCAAATATCTCTAGTTACACAGTTACGTCATACAACATTGGATCACGTATACGACAGTGGTCCCATAAAAATGGCGCTGAAAAATTCCTTTCGCCTAGTGACGTCTTGATGATCCTGACCCTGTGAAGCCCCAGGCTAATGTGTGCATTTGTGTCTCTGTTTTTAATTTTTAAAGAGTTTTTTTTTTTTTTTTTTTAATC